AATGCAATGGGTGTGTTTGAATGGGAAATAATTACAGTCATACTCACGGTGAATTATTTTCGTGCGATCGGGATGGTAATGTTGTCTTCGTGCGAGCATATTGTAGCGTTATTTTTACAGTCGCATGATATGCGACTGTAATATCGATTTAGCACATCTGTACTATCGGTGGATTTTAAAATATTGCGAATATTATTACACTATTTACATAATCATTCACGTAAATGAATACTGTGTTAGAAAAGTAGAAAAAGTGTAGAAAAGTATGTATGTAGAAAGGTAGAATAGTATGTAGAATACTAGTAGAAAAGTAAAATAAATAGTGTAAGACGGTATTTCTTGTCTAAATTAGAAGATCGACGAAAATAATGATTTAAAAAAGCTTATACGTAAAAGCGTAATTTTTGAAAGAAAGTATGATTAAAAGCGTTCGCGCAAGACGTCGTGTATGCAACGGCAAACGATATCGTTGCATGGGGTGGCACAAGAAGTGGCACCGTTCAAACTCGTTTACACGCTCTGCTCCGTCGAATGGTTTATACCGATCGTCCATTGTATTACCTTGTGCATGCGCCTGGCTTCGGTACCGCGTCACATCGCTCTGTGTGGTCCACACGCGACTCTTTGACCGGAGATAAAGTTTTTACGGGCTTACCTCGGTCGGAGGGTAACGTCGCGTTTTACTTCACGTCGGAGTAAAATAAGTTACGCGGTATTCTATCTAAAAGATATACATATATATACATATATGCATTTAAATAGGTTGCCGGGATAGATGGGTGCAGTCGAGCGGGGCGAAAATCTGAATACAAAATAGCAATAGATCTCGGTATGTCGCGGGATGCCGAGTATAAAAGACTAATGGCGCAGCGTAAATGTCCGCATTGCCGTGGTTCCGCGGCGAATAGAGTAACGTCGCGCGCAACGGCAGTCCTTAGATAGGCGAATGGAAACGCGGATGGATAGATACGTGTACTTCTGCTACTCGGACGCCGAGATCCGAGCGCGATAAAGGCGGATGCAAGCGAAGTAACGGGTGAATCCGTGTCGTAAGATACGGAGGGCATAGAGGATGGTCGAGTGTCCATAAACATTCACACGTGGCCCCGTAAACAAACGATAAAGGAATGATTATGGCACGGCGATAGCGAAAATGAAAGCGCGATTAGATTGCGAGAACAAAGAATACAGTGATTACTCTAGTCGACGCGTCCTTCAGCGAGTTTACAAGCCGAGTTCTCAGAATAGGCAACAACGTTTAGCATAGATACGCGCAGAAAATTCTAAGAGATTCGAAATGACGCAACATTGAAGCTCGTTAGTTATCAGTAGCGATATTCATTCATAGATGATCGTGAATCTTGAATGGCTTAAAGGATATTAGAAATTAATTTTGTGAGATCTAATGTAGCACACAGTATACATAACGATTAAAAAAAAAATTGCTTTATTCATTACAAGTAACTGAAACTATCATTATATAAATTTAAGATAATACAAATAATGTAAAAATAAAATTCCAAAACTTGGTATTAAAATGAAGAGAAGAGAAAACACTTTCGAGGAGTGAATATTCCTTTTCAGATAAAGTATCATTAGACAAGATTAAGTGAATTGCATTCTGTGGGGTAAATAAATTATACTAGATAGTCATGTGCACTTTGATATCTCGCACCGATTCATGGGATTCATGCGATAGACAAAAGCACAGAAACATGGTTTTCACGTGACATTAGCACCTGAAATGCCGAGCGCAAACTAACAAATTACCCTGTGTACACATTTATCAGCTTAATTAGCTAGATATTTCTTATTTGCTATGGATGCACTTTGAGAATTACTTTGAGAATTACTTTGAGAATATCCCCCGTCGGATATTTCGTTAATCCATTCATCATCGCGCGAGTGTGCACGTACGATAAATTCTCAGATACATTTTCGATAACTTATAAACTTACGGCGCCACTGATATCCGCAATAAATAAACGTTCGCACGGTTTGCAAGAAGCGCCAACTCCTTCAATATATATAGGATATTATTCAATCAATCAAAATCAATTCACCACGTCAGAAACTAAAACAATATCTGTCCGATATTGCTCAGGTATCGATATTCTATTTGCCATGGCACTAAAGTAGAGGCTTGACGATACTTGAATATATAAAGATATCAATTTTTAGAGTTGAAAATTGCCTACGTCGGCTTGTAAGCGGCTTTGCCGCTATCTAATCCACTAAGTCATCGCGTCTGAGCGAGTAATAACGTCAGGACAGACAAGACGTAAGGTCAATCTGTCAGAATCACGTGGTGTGACATTTATGAATATCGATGCGTGACGTGCAACAGGCGCGCTCGCGCGCGCGCGATTTCGCCATCGAGTATTCTCCCGCGTCTCAGGCGGATCTCACGACACACGCCAGGACGGATAAATCATCTCGACCGCGCGTGAGCGCGCGGTATGTACGCGCATCTGCATTCCTCGGGAGCCTCGCGTGCATTAAGGTCGTTTCGATCGCTGCCGGGGTGTGAATGTGCGCGCATACCCGCCTGCGCCTTTTTTTCTCGCCGCCAGGCCTGAAACGAATTGGGACGCGATAATCGCGGCTGACCGTTGTAACGGAGAGCGTAAAAGGAGAGATCGACCGAATTATCGGATAATCCGCGACCGTTTTTACGCGGCTATCATCGCGGAACGAGGGGGGGGGGGATGAATAGAATCGCCTCGGAAATTTCAAGGTTAATAATAACGTTACGTGTAACTCTCTTTTTAGCGGGCAATCGAGATCGCGGTAACTTTTTCTGCTTTATTTTTCGGACGCTCTATTCGCGCTTCCGACGCGAATAAAAGAGAAAATAATTCCGGAAATAATCTTGTAAAAAGATTCGGCATTTTTATTCGCAATCCTTTCAATGATATACAATCAAATGAGATGAGTGCAGTGTGTTTACCCATCGATACTATCTGTTTCTCTTCACGGTACGCTGCTACACAAAGGAAGCGATGTCTTTGCATATTATATCGAATACACGTTCGCTTCGCCGGACAGTCACGATAACTTTTTACGGGCGGGCTGGAGCGAGTAACAAAGGCGAACGTTAATTGACAGAACAGAAGCGTCGTTGTCGATTTGAAAGGTCCGAGTCGCATAATTAATTACCGGCCATCGAGAAGGGTGGTAGTGCCGTCAAGGAGATATAACGCTTCTTCACCCCGGCCGGTTGGTCGCGATTTTTGACCGATCCCAAGGCGATCCGGTCATTCGACGTAATGGTACGTCGTAAGAAGCCAGCTCTACAACTGCCGCATTAACTCGCCCAGCCTTTAAATAGTCTCGCGATAATTGAATGTGTGTTGGGCTATTCGTCGTTCCGCCACGCTTATGTCGTCGATTAACTCTAAGACTATCAGGTTTCTTTCACTTAAATACACCATCAGCGGAGGCAATTTTTAACTGCAATAAAAAAGAGGAAGCAGCTTAATCCGAACAAGTTTACTGCCATTATCTCGCACTTCGCAAATGTATTCGGAAGTTTTATGCGGGAGCAACAGTTATGCCAATTAATGTTGAATTTATTATGACAAACTTTAATTTATGACAAACACGATCACTTGATTATAATTATAAGCTTTCGCGCAATTTTTTGCATTATTATTTAACATAGTTTCTAACTTATCTCCTAGTTAGCCACTAGAATTAATTCGATTTTATTGACTCATCCAGTCCCTTAAACTGTGGCAATCAAATCGGCAGCATGGCTCGCGAACTTAATCATCGCGATGTGATTCGCATTAGCGGTAAATGGGACGGTGAAAATTATCTCGGAGCTTCTTCCGGATCAACCGAACGAGTCGTCGCTGACTTAATTGGCGAACATTACGTGACGCACGTGAGCTACGATTAGTTGCGCCGCGGGAATCGCCGAAGCGGTCGCCGTTAGTGGAATCGTCGCCCATCGCGCGGTTCGCTCGAAACGATCGATCGATCTTAATCGCGCCATCGATAACCGCGCGGTTTATCACCGCGCAATTAATTGCCAGCACGCCCGCTGTCGCGCGTGGAAAATGTTCAAGGCCGCTCGTTCGACACGGCGTAACGGCATGGACATGCAAATGTCAAGGAAATGAACGAAGATGAAGCGTTTCGCTCTCACTCCATTTTGTACCGATTCTCTTTTTTCCCTCTTCTGGGCTACCCTTTTGCTCGTTTCGCTTTTTTTCCAACGTCCATTAGTCAGACTTTCTCATCGACTCCCACGTAAAATGCCTGTCATCCGAGACACCATCGCGTCGCGTTCCAATTAGAAGCCCGATAAACGATTCCTCTTCGCTTCCACCTGTGATCTGTGAAAAAGGACACGTAAAAATAAAAGTCCATCCTTTGTGTGTTACAGGAGCGAGGATATCACGCGGCCAATATGGAGCGGTGGCTGGTGTATACGGTGACGCTGCAGATTTTCGCTGCTATCGCTCGCGCCGCCGAGGACTTTCGGCACATCTCGTACGAAGGTAAGAACTAATTATAGTTTCCAGAAGGCAAAAATAATCGATAAGAATATTGATTAATGCTTTATTATCAATTGATATTATTACGCACAATCTTATTTACGATATGTTATCTTGAAATTATAAGTCCTCTAATCAACATCCGAGGGGAATCTCTTATCTTATTATTTGAGCGACCTAATTGATTCATATATCGCCGTATAAAATCTGGTGGATGATTAACTAACCGCTGCGGTAGCTTATCGAGCGACTGGCGCATAATTTGCAAGAGCCATCACACGGTCTCAGACGCGATGTACGCCATTCCGGATACGATAACCGCGCCCGCAGATGATCTCACGATCCCCGTTGATTGCTTTATCACGGTTAATTCGAGTAACCGCGAGCCGATTACGCGCAGTTCCAACAATCCGTGGCGCGATAAGACGTGCGTGACGAAGACGGCCGTGCAGCGATCCCGTCGAGTTTCCATCGCTTGGCGAACAGGACCGACGAGTTTTCTAACCCGCTTTGATTATCTCTCGAAACGGGAGCACTCCTACGGGACGACAGAAATATACTTTCATTCATCATGGCGTGTATTATTGCGCCAGGTGCGTTATCGGCGCCGTTAAAAATGCCGTGCCATTCTCTGCGTAAGGCGAACATGCGCTCGCGCACGTAACTGCAACGAAATTGAGATCGTCAATTGTGATTCGCAAAGATTTTCCACTTCAGCTTGACGCAAAGATATCGATCTGCTCATTAATATCGAAAATCTTATCGCTTCCTTTGCTAATCGCTTCAATGAAATTATTTACTCATTTATTTTTTTTTTTTGTTTCTGCTCGCCGGTGGAAATTCGGCAATGAAAACATTCAATAGAATTTCACGGTTTTCAACATTAAATTACCATCGTAATTGCACTCCGAGTTAAGGCAAAGTTTGCCTGAGATAACTGAAAGGTAAAGTTCTCTCGCACTTCGCATTCTTTAGTCTAATTCAAAAAGAGAATAATTTCCGGCACTAAATAACTTTACAATTATGCTGTCCATTATAAGTTTAAGAAAAAAAAAGTTAAATACATCAACGAATGTCATTAATGGGAAAAAGTCAGACAGGGACATTTTACGTATCGATAATGACGGATCGGCGACGAAGCGATCGAAATCACGGCGCGAAATCGCTTAATCATAAAAAGTAGAGGAATCCTTTCCGGGAGAGTTAACAGTCTTCCGCATAGTTTCCGCCGCGGAAAATAAAACCATAAATAAATTCGTGGCGAGTCAATTCGAGTAAATCACACGGCCGGCCGCGCATCCGGAAACATTTATGCAAGTTTAATGTCGCCTATAACCGCTTCTCTCCACTACTGTCGACTATGTGTCGGACAGGCATGGCTAATCGATAAAGAAAACATATCCCCGCGCGTTTGGCGTGTGTGTGTGTCGCGCGCACACGATGTCCGCGACAATCGGGCCGGCCGGCCCATTAAACATCTGGCAAAAATGTCGGACATTCAGGGCACTTATCACAAGCAATGACCCACAATGTACAGTTACACGTAGGCGAGCTCGCGGCTCGATTATCGGCGCGCTCGCGGCCCCCGGAGAGAAAACGCAGATCGTGTCGGAGATGTGGAACGTGTGGTCGCCTATATGGAGAACAGACGCCACGCCCGTCAAACGGAAACCGCACGGAAAACCCTGTGCGCCGCCTCAGCCCCCCCTCTTCCTCCCCGACTTAAATCCTAATGAGCTTAATGGATCGTTTCTAGCTCCCGACACGCGCAGTAGCCTCTTTCTCGGCACTCCGTCGTCTCTCTCCTTTTCCCCTAATAATACGCATGTGTCAGGAGCGCGCGAGAAGGATGGCACGGGAATATATTGCGGGCATGCAATCCGTGATTTCCATTTGCACGTAAAGTACTCCGCTGGTCGTTCGACGATGGCTTTAGAGCCCGCGGCCTCCGGACGACGCTGCGACAGTCTCGCAACAGTCGTGCGGTATGCATTAGGCCGGATCACGATTTTGTTACGGTTTCCCGCGCTTCTCGCGGCGTCGTCACGTTTTTGAGCTGCGCCCGGATGAAACGCGGAATGCGAAATGTGTCTGCAAATGCCAAGAATTAAAAATTCATGTACCGAGTCGATTTTAATGACGCATAAAGTCAGTCGTAATTTATAATTAACTTACTCATTTAATAACGTATATAAGAATGCTTTGCTGCAATATTGAGTAAAGATTTTGTCGGCACGGAATCAAGCGTCGCATGGTTTTTTCCGTCGTAAAACTAAACTATTTATTGTCGTGTTTAATTCCCGCATGCAAACGCATAGCATTAACGATAGAATATCTCGGAATGTCATTATGATAATTTGTGATTCCGCGGCAAATCGTTTTGTTAGAGAGAGACGGATTGTCTGCAAAACAACGGATGTGACACATATGCACTGATAATACCTACGTAATGTACGAGATATTTCCTTTTCCGCGAATACATGATTGCTCTCTACGCACTCTGAATTCCTGGCTATTTAGCAATAATGCGATGGATGCACGCCGAGATATCAATATTTAATACTATCTGCGAAAGCGGCATTTGCATGGATGTTGCGATTATTGAACTAATGAAATGAGATTAAATAGTCAGCTTTTGATAAATATTATCTAATTTTATTTTATATTTATATAAATTATGATTACGATAATTATGTAAAATATATCTTTCTTTATTCAACAAAAAGGGATGAACTGTAGAAAGAAAATGCTGAAACGTTAAAGCAATTGATTTGAAAAAGTTCGCGAAGCGTTAAGAAAATATTAATCGATGTTGACTAATTAAACAGACACACGAATACGGACAGAACATTATTTATTCTTGATTATAGTTCTTTGTTTCGCTCTTATGAAATTCAATTGTACTGACTTGTGCACTTTTCCAAGCGATTCGATTGTCGAGAGTTTTAAATCTTGGACTACAATAAATTCTCCCACTCGCCACGATCGGTACGCGTATAATAGCCGTGATACCGCTACGGTCTCCTCTCTCTTTCTCTCGCCTCGGCGATGGATTTGTCATTGTGTGAGTACCGTCGCACGGTTAGGCGATGTAATTGCCCACATTATTGCACGAAAGTAACGAACGTTATTTATAACGGTATCGAGTTGCTAATGTGCGGCGAACATCGACAGCTCGATATCAGATCTCGGGAACATCTAGCGAAAGAAGACTGCGCGAAAGAAATCGCAAATAAAAGTTCGTTTGTTTGTTGAAACGTCTCACACGGTTGGCGTCGGAAAGCATTGACGCTGCGAGTATGCGATATGCCTATACGCGTGTTCCCGTAACGGTATTATTTGCACAGTGTCGGACTAGCGGTTACAGCTGAATAGGGGAAACTGAAGAGTTAAATATTCCTTCCTTTATAATTAATGAAAAATATCAACGCGGAGAAAGCCAGATAATTGTCATATATATATATATGTATATCACCAAAATATATATATATCACCTAAAGATTATATTCATATCATTACTTAACACTAGAGATACCGCAAGTTGACCTCTTCAAAATTTCTCCGCGTCGTGTGTTATAAATACATGTATACGGGATATTATCGATTTCGTATATTAGTGCATTATATAAGTTGTTAATTTTCAATATTTTAGCCTCTTCTTTCATTTTGTCTTATTTTATGGAAAAATATCCAAAAAGAGTTTATCCGATATTTCTCCATTTTTTTTCTCTTTATTTACAGTATTAAAATCTATCGGTGATTGAATAAAAATATTTATATTTTTTTTAAATTGAAAACAAACTTACATAAAAATTGACTCTGCCAAAATCTGATAACCATCGTATTTTTGTAGCATACAGATTTTCATCAAGCTTAAAAATTAGGTTTTTTTTTTTTCAAAGAGAAACCTTAATATTGAAATCACGTAGAAATCGATAAAAATTATATTATTTCTCAATGCGAAATACAATTACGTCGGAGAACGACACGGGTCTCCTTCACAAGGAGACGCGAGGCTATTACATCGAACATAATTAAATTCCGAATACAAGGGCAACAGACACCGTGTGCAGATTGCGAACGAGCTCGTTAAGCGCCCTATTGCACGTCGAAAATGACAAAGCAATTCTCCTCTAATTATCCTGGTATAAGGCTGGTCGAGGGTACATTGTACTTTGAAAGGTTTGCTTTCGTTCCGCTCTTGAGAACCAGCAGCGATTGTTTGCCGTTCGCTCGTCCGATCGGGTCGATCCGCGAGGAAAACGGTTTTCAGTTGGCCGTGGAGGTCCCCCGAGTATCGAACGTAATGTCTCGATTACGGAAAGCTATCCGTTTAAGTAGCGATTGCGCAATCGCACGTCTTTCGTAACGCGCGTCCATTTCTCGTGCAAACATACGAGGGTTTGTACGGGAACAGACGCGTTTATGGCGCGCGCGGTATGCAACGAGAGATTTTTGTTATCTCGAGATAATGCACATTTCGCAAAATTAACAACCGCTTGTCCCGAGATATAAGTTTTAGCCGAGTCTATAAAAGGTGTGCCTCGATCGCGAGCGATCTCTTCGTGGCGATGTAAACGGAATATAAAATGGCGATTATAGTGATCGTAGAAAGGGAATGAAGCGTTGTAAAGAGAATATTGATAATGCTAGTAGAGAGAATAATTTGATGCAATAAAAGCGCGAGAATTGCATGCCCCGTAATTTTCGCCGGTTCTCAAAGGCGCCTCGAAGGCCAATTTCCCAACTGGAATTTCCATCGGGTCGTCGAGATTTTCCCGTCACTCCCACTCGCGCCCTTTTTCTGCGTTTTGCCGTCGCGCCACGTCGCCTTGAGCTTTATACCACATAAATTTCTACTAGCTGTTCTGTGTCGCGTGGCGCGCTGCGCGATTGGCGCCGCCGATAATTACCGTTTTGCCTTTTCGCAGCTGCGTTTCGCGCCGGATTACCTGCACTAGTTTTTGCCGTCACTACGCTCCTTGCGGCGACGTAAAGCGCGA